GCTCTTAGCCATTGCCAGGTCTTGTTGTTATCTGCTTTGACTGCTAATTTTTTTGTGTACTGGCCATGTAATACTTTCCCTTGCCATGTCTCTTTTCCATTTTTCATTTGGTCTTTCTAATAGGCCAGTCTGGTTTCTTTGGTATTCAGTAAGCCTTCATGGTGTACTAGCTTCAGGGCATCTTCTTCACTGTCCTTCAGATATTCTTCATTCAGTAAGCCTTCATGGTGTACTAGCTTCAGGGCATCTTCTTCACTGTCCTTCAGATATTCTTCATTCAGTAAGCCTTCATGGTGTACTAGCTTCAGGGCATCTTCTTCACTGTCCTTCAGATATTCTTCTAATGCCTTTTTTTCTTCTTCAACTGTCTTCTGTACTTGCAACATTCCACATCCACCTATGCTCCTTAATAAGTAGCATTTATCAATGTTTCTGTGTGAATGAAAGGCCTGATTCATTGTCATTATTTTTCTGGTCTTCCTATCCAGGGCTTCTAGTTCTGCTTGAGTCCAGTCCACTATTCCAGCTGTGTATCTAACGACTAGAATTGCCCAGGTGTTAATCACCTTGATGGTATTTTCTCCACTGAGTTTGGATTTTAGGATCGTCTTCACTCTCATGATGTATTCACTACTAACCTTCAATGTGCTTGATGTTGTCAGCTTGAAGGATGCCCAGGTATTTATTGTGATCTTCTTCATCCAGACTCTTGATTCATCCAATCATATGGCAGGGAGTTGAATGCCTTCTTGTGATCAATCCAAGCTACATTCAAGTTGGTCTTCCTTTTCTTGCAGTTTTTCAAAATTATCTTGTTAATTAGGAGCTGATCTTCTGTCCCTCTGCTATTTGGGCGGTTTCCTTTCTGCTCAGATGGAAAGAGCTTGTTTTCAACGAGATGCTGTTGGACTGCATCAGCTACCACATCAGTTAGCAATTTGAAAGTTGTTGGCAAGCAGGTAATTGGCATGTGGTTGCTTGGTGTTGCCTCTTTTGCTGGATTTTCATTATCATTAATGATAATTATCATTATCAATTTAATCTCCTTGCAGTATGTTGTTAAACTGCTTGACAATGAGTGGGTGCAGACCAGTCAGATGTTTCAACCAAAAACCATGCAGTTCATCTTCACCTGGTGTTGATCTATTATTATAATTGTTATTGTTATTTTACATAAATTATTAATATACATTACAACAAAAAGCAATTCTTCCAATTTTGTTAGCCCACTTAAATGTCATACCTTATAATCCAAGCCATCTGAGCAGTTGAACACCACACACTGGATGGCAAGTGCTTTTGCAAGATCTTTAGTAGTCTCTGTTTTTCCAGTACCAGCAGGGCCAGCTGGGGCTCCTCCTAGGTCAAGCTGCAGGGCTCCCATCAGGCAAAGGTAGCAACGATCCTGATGAGATTTAATGTATATATAACTACATATGCATGATATTGAATGGAAATCTGAATATGACATAACTAACACTGCACAATTAGGTTGCAGTATCAATCATACAATAATTATATGGGGTATCGCTGGATCTCTGACTTAATTTTGGACTCCTGGAAAAAAAAAAAACCAATTGGCTTCTTAAAAGCCCTTTTCTTGACTTCTAGATCTATCCCCAATGTAGTCCTGAGGCTAGAGGCTGTTTGCTTAGAATTGAAATCAGGCCATGGCAATTAATTCTACCTTTCTATCTTAAACTTAAACTAGCCCCATGGGGCTATTATCATCAATCCTATGGGACAGGTTTAGATAAAAGTGGTAGCTGAGTATCACAAATAAATGGCTTTCTTGGTATGCCAGCTGATTTCTTGTTACTCCTAAGGCTAGAATTACAAAAGGCCAAGGAGGTCATCCAAGAGTTCGTTGAGGATGCTGGATTCTAAAATGAGTTAATTCAAACCATAAGGATTTATTGCTTACTTAGGCTCTTCCCAGCTTAATATTTATATTCCTCTCCTAAATATTGGTAGATGTTCTCCAGAAATCATTTCAACACTCTCCCCTCAATAGTTATGGAAGGTAAATTCAATACTTCCATAATGTCACAGAGATGTCCATGTGCATCAGGAAATCCTTACAGAAATCCTTTAATCCTAAGATGTGAATTTGTGTTCCAAGATATTTCAGCCCTTATTTTTAAAAAATGCCTGGGGAGACAGATGAATTTTATGTAAATTATTTTTTGGCAGACAGAAATTCTGAAGTTACCTATCTAGTTGTAATGTTTTATTCTTTAGTGATAAGGGTGTACAATACCAATGTTATTTCTATATGATAACTAAGCCCTCACATTAGCAATGATAAATAATATAGACATACATAATGATTTCATTATTTCTATTTTATATTTATTTGTTTTATCCTAATTCTGGTCTCTACTGTAACAATGTTTTATTGCTGTTTCCATACTAGTTAGATGACTCTCCAAAAAGGCTCACTTTATAGCAACAGAATTAATTGAAAGACCTTACTACATGTTGTATAGAATATTACCAAACAGTTGGTATTGCTATCAAACTATTTCCACATACAGGCAACAGAGAAAGAGAGATCTCAATTTTTTATAAATATAATCAGGGTTTTACTATTTTAACCACATTATAAAAAGGCATTTCTTATGTCCAAATACCTTTGAATTACAGGTAGTTTTTGCTATCCAACCACAACAGGGACTGAAATTTAGGTCACTAAGCAATTTGGTCATTAAACAAATTGGAGCTGATTTTACAACATTTTTTACGATGGTTGTTAATGAATCACCGCAGTTGCTAAGCAAGACCCATGGTTGTTAAGCGAATCATGTAGTCATTAAGCAAATCCAGCTTTCCCAATGGATATTTTTTGCTGGAATTCACTTAACGAACATGTGATTCATTTAATGACCATGTGACTTGCTTAACAACTGCAGTGATTTGCTTAACAACCATCATAAAAAATGTTGCAAATCGTGATCACATGACTGCGGGGGTTGTAAAGCACTTTTCCCAAGGCTGTCGTAACTTCAGACCATCATTAAACGGACGGTTGTTAACAAGGACTACCTATATTACAATACCCCTTCAATTAATTAAGGCAAACATCTCAGTATGTGAAGTACCATTATACAAGCAGAATTATTCTTGAAACTATTCCAGATTCACATAATAGCATTATTATAATAAAGTGAGTAACAAAATAGTAAATTTAAGATAGAACCGTAGTATGTAGAGTTTGTTCAGATTGTAATCTAAAATAGGGAGTTAATTTTTGTGTTTGCATTATTACATAGTTTAGGTTAACAATGGTACTTTTACTGATATATTTATTTTATAATCCTGTCATCATTTTGCTGAGATATAGCATTACTGTGATAGAATGTATCTACGAAGAGCAGGGTGATGTGAGAGATCAAGGCTAACAGGAAGGAGGGGGTGCATTCCAGGAAGGGAAAGGAGACAAAAGACAACACAGTCCATAGGGGGAGCATGGGAAGCGAAAGAGGTTCAGAATCTCCCAGGGTATATCCACTTGTTGCAGTAGTATAGATTTAGTCTGGCAAGGTTCTGCCTATAAAGTGTAAATAAATAAGGGAACTTTGCTCAACTGGACTATTTCACTGATGGTCTTATGGTAGGCCTGGCAATAACTCAGAGTTTCAGAAAATGCAAGATCATGTGAAGCAATAGAAATAAATAAACGTAGCTTGGGCAATAATGGCTGATTGTGCCACCTACAAATTTCTCTCTCTCTCTTAAGTTTTTTCTTACAGGTAGTCCTCACTTACTGATGGTAACTGGGACCAGGAACTCCATTGCTAAGCAACGTTGTAAGGTGCAACATCATGTGACCGTGCTGAGTTACAATGGCAGTTCCGGCAGTCCCAGTTGCCATTTTTAGGTGAATCTGGTGCAGTTGCAGTGTCCCGTGGTCACATAATCACTTTGCTTGTTGGAAGTTGGCAGAGAAGGTTGCAAATGGTGATCATATGACCATGGGATGCTGTGATGTCGTAATTGTGAGCCAGTTGCTGAGTGCTCAAATCATGATCATATGATTGTGGGGACACTGTGATGGCCGCAACCATGAGGACCCATTGTAAATAACCCACATGCAGCACCATCGCAACTTCAAACGATTGCTGAACAAGTGGACATTAAATGAGGACTATCTGTACTGTATTTATTTTTTCTGTTCCCTTATAAATGTCTATATTAGTTTTTTCTTTCTGGGTTTTTTTTTGGGGGGGGGTAAGAAGTTCTATTGCAAAGCTACTTTTAGCTGCACGATCTAGATTGTGAGAGCGAAAAGTTTAGCTCCAAAGTTCCATGGTGATCCTCATTATTCCTCCATGTCGTCAACCTTCGCTCCACCACTTTCGCCCTCCTTCTGCTAACCTAATATTGCTCTGCTACATTTCCTGCTTCCTTTGTCTTTTTCATTTCCCACACCTTTCTTGCCACACAGTCTCTTTCCACTGAAATAATTGCTGTGTCTGCAAGAGATAATTTCTTAAATTTTACATGCAAGAAAATGACAGCAGCACATTACCGTGAG